ATCACATTGAGAGTGGAGCTGTTGAGTGGAGTTGCGCTGAACCAGATTCTGTGCTGGCGCAATGTCGAGGTTGCACAAGCGTGGCCAGTGGCCAATGAGTTCTCACGTCACTCTACCGGCAAGCCCACAAACCAAATGGTCACAGTGTCATTAATAGATAAGCGCTATTTGTGTCTGCCAGTTACAGTGTTATAACATCTTACTGGTTTAAGATTACTTCTGCCCTCCTTTCCTGTTTTACCATTAAAAAACAGCGAAATTTAGTGGTTTGACATGAGGCCAAGTCTTCCCACTAAGAATTACATCAGTTACTGCAAAGACCAATTGCAACCACATGCCAGTTACTGCGCTCTTTCTAGTGGCCAACCACCTGCCTATACACCAACGCAAGTAGTCACGAAGTAGCCCTAACACCGCACAGACATACGTTGAACACCGTATATTTTAAAATATGTGCTTATTTCTGGATGAAATTCTGATTACACAGACGTAGTCACAGAATTATCAACCACACGTATTTCTTTTGTTTCGTAGCAGACAATTAAAAAAACTTTTACTACGAAAGTGAAAATCTCAAGCAAGTATCAGCTGGGAAAAAGCCTGATTTTTTTCAGGACAAACCCGACTAGGAGGTGATAAAACTTATCGAATTTGGTATGAGGTTGTGTGGCGTTTGGGTCTAAATGTACCACAAATCGGGCAAAGGTTTGCTAGTAACTCAAACTTATTCACGTATTATACATCATCATCATCATCTTAAAATGGCGGTATTTCAAGTAACCGTTACATATTTCACTAGTTCACTCAGATATGCTCACTTTATTTCACTACTATGAGTACCGGTAAGGGCGCCGGTGAAATTAAAAACAACACAGCATGTCTGGAGATTTTTGATAAAGAGCTCCAGCTGTTCATTAGCCGGCAGTGAGAGGACACCTGTGATCGCTTTCGTTTTTTGCCTTTGAATTTAGTTTTCAAAATAAAGCGATCGCATTTCGACATTTCTTTTGATTCAGAAGAAAATTCTCCAGAAGAGTTTAGTATGAAGCTACATGCAGATAGCCAAAAAACCAGTTAGAGGGCTCATTTACACATTTGGACGCAAGATTATCTGTGAATGACGCCCCGACCATTTGCTTTGTGGGCTTGCCGGTCGAGTGACGTGAGAACTCATTGGCCATTGGCCATGCTTGTGCAACCTCGACATTGCGCCAGCACAGAATCTGGTTCAGCGCAACTCCACTCAACAGCTCCACTCTCAATGTGATTGAAGTCACTTGCACGTTCGTGAGAGGAGACAGTTCACTAGAAACACATCATGCAACGACGATCGGTGGTGAAGCGTGAATTGCATCCGTGAAATATCTCCGTCGGACACTAGTCAACGGCCCTGATCGGTGTGTGGAATTAGCTCGCTTTTGTAACACAAGGAGCTGAGAAGTCAGGAAGAGGAAGGAGGAGGAGGAGGAGACCGGAGCTATCAGAGACACCAGTGTTTTGCAGATGGCTCAAGCTGGTTGCATTGTCGAGCACGTGTATTCAAGGTATCGCATGAACTTGTGGATCTGCAAATGCCGGAATGATCAGACGAGTGGAGCGAGCAGTTGGTGTGCAGTACATGCAGAGGGGTGGCTGGGTAGACGGTCCGGCGTGCCTGAGGGGTCTCGTTGTGACTGGGTTGAGGACGTGACTGTCAACACCACGCCAACAGCAGCGACGACGGCAACGGCGGCTCTTTGTGAGTGCGACACAGTTGTGTGAACTTGGGGGGACTGTTTACTGAGATTTTAAAGTGTGCACGTAATTTGTACTGAAGGTGTTCCCTTAGAGTGTGAGTGCTCTGTGTTGGAGTGCTGCCAGTTGGAGATGCAGTGAGTGAAATGGCATCTTGGCTTCATGCCATTGGTACAAGTGCTCTGGCAAATGTGTAAGCTGACGTCGACAAGGCAACTGTGTGGAATGTCCAACAGTCACAGTCTTGTGGATATCGCAAAATGTCAGCCAAGTTGGTTTATTAGTGGCGTGACAAGTAAGTCCCCTTCAGTCGTGGTTTTGTGTGTGTGCAATTAAATGAAACGGTTCAATCCCAAGCGGAGATCTGGTTGGCCAATGTGATTGGGGCTTATTGTGGGCCCCAGCATGTGGTCTTGAACCATGGCGGGGGCCACTGAACTAATCCTGGCCCGATTACGCTTCCCTGATAACTGTGATGAAGAAAAAGACCTGAGAGGATGACGTGGAAACAACCGTTTACTTCAGAGCCCCACGACGTTGGTGTCGTTGTGTCGTGTATATTTATGCCTCAAGTGAGTGAGTCATAGATGCGCTAACAGCGAGACCTAGATGTGATGATAGTCGAAGATAAATGTTCGTACGAATGAGAAGGGAGTTGAGAATGCACGGGGCTGGTGAACTGCTGCGAGAAGGGGAATCCTGTGTCGGAGGATGGAGCGACCGCATTGATGAGTGTGCATTAGCACTATTCACAGCAGGCTGTCGACAAGTTTAGCCACTGGATTAACAACTATTTGTTGTATCCTTCTGTTTTTTTCTTCATTCTCTGTCTCAGTACTTGTTGAGATATTCCGCAGATGTTTACTTTGACGAAATCTAGCGACCAATATAATTTCATCACGTGTATTCAACAATGCTTGTTTACGTGATTAGTTTTCATTACTCAAAATAATCGATATCCACTCCCCTTTCGTGCATGCGGATGCCATTTCGCTCGTAAGGATCTCCCGTTTTTTTGTCCTAAATTTTGAAATACATGTAAATGGTGGTGAGAATGTTGCATTTGTCAGAATTCATGTTTAGCCACAGAAACTGAAATTTACTATGCTTCTACCGCATGTTACCTTTTCGATCCCGAGAAGTATAACTGGTAAATTTTTAAAATTATATAAACTTTTACGGAAAAAATTTTGTTTGGAATTTTCTTCATCCTGGAAATTCGGAATATGAATTTTTGTTTAGTATACTGATTACTTATATGTTGGTAGTAGCTTGTATTGTCTCTGCAACAACCTGAAAGTCAGCGCCTGGCGTAAATTCAGGTGAGGTAGCCATTATTTGCGTAACCTTCCTGTCTCTGTTATCACTCTTGAAGTTTTTTTGCAGTGACTACTATGTGGGTTGGTTTGGTGATACCAAAAAATCGCTTTTTCTTAATGAATTTTTTGTTTCTCAGAAATTGTTGCCCTCGGTTGATGTTCGTTTATCTCCACGCAACGCGGACTCGTCAAATGTGAAATCTGGCATTTGCAAAGACAGCTAAAATGGTGTTAATTAGATTGTTCCCAAAACGAAGTCCTGGTCATTTAGTGACTCACCAATACCCAAATCTAACATTTGTATTTTAAATAATCTCTCTCTTATTTTACACAAACTTTGATTCAAAACGAGAACCTCAACTATCTAACCTCTATTCATGCCTCCAATAAAAAGTTTATAATATTGAACGGGACACAGTACTTAATTCCTTGATTTAAGTAGTAACCCTCTTTTGTATTGAGGACGGGAGAAGCATTAATCTTAAACTAAAAATGGAGTGGAACAAGAGGCGACAGAGGACACGAACGTTTATTAGCGTCACGTTAGCCAAGTGTGGATGAATGAACGGATGACAGGCGTCTGATAACAGTAGCCAATGAAAAGCGGATGAGTCATTGTCATCGTCAGGTCAGTAAACAGGGTTCACGTAGGCACGACCGCTGCACCTAAGTGTCTCGCTCAATTATAATAATGTTTGGGCCGAAATTGAGGCAAAGTAACTCCTGGTATTTCTGACGGTAACCTGGATTAAAATGAGAGACAAAAATTCACACAATTTAAACAAAAGGATATGCACATTTTAAAAAAAATTATCCTGTTAGCTGGAAGTATCAACCACAAGCGTAGACGTGTGCTAGAGTTCAAAGGTCAAATGTGCTGGTGTATTTCAGGCCTTACCAATTCAGGAACTGGACAGAACGAGTTCGAATCTCGTAAAATCACTTTTTACACAAATTCGGACATCTCGTAAAAGCGCTAGCGAAATACCGTCAATACGGCACGAACCCACGCACGTCTTCCTGTCGCATGCATGAAATATGAAAATGATCCAGATACGCAGACGCGCGACACATGATAACATTTGGCATTTGTGGGTAAGTTTGATGTGAAGGAAGCTGGAACTGAAAAATGGCCTGCGAGGTGATCTGAGAGAAACGGGACTCAATCCTTGAGCGTGTTCCAACCGAAGTTCCGATATTCACTCTTGAAGATGCCATGCAACTCAACAATCGACGTCGACGACCACAAGAGAGAAGTTCTTGCGGAAAATTGGTCACGCTGCATGTTATGAGGTTTCTGGGACAAGCTGCCTGTCGAGTGGTCATTGGTGGAAATGAATTTGAAGTAATATTGATTTCAACATGAAACAAAGTCGTTGTGCACTAAATTTTGTCTGTAACAACCGCCACCTCATTGGTTTATGCCTATTTTGAAACGGAATCTGTTTTTAACCAGACAAAGACAGGCATAAAATATCTCTTGGTGTGAGAGTCAAGGACCTAATGTTTGCTGGTGAAATTGGATTGGCTAAGAACTCGTGGAAAAATCCGATCGCTATTTATCGATTATCTGGCGAAATTGATCTGGAAGGTTTTGTCCAACTTTTTTTTTCAAAATTAGTCGGACAAATTACACACCACCGATATCATCGTTTTTCCGGAAAAAATCAACTTCAGTTATTGTACGGAGAGCAGAAAATTCACGTTCACACACGTGTCCCGCCAACGTGACCCCGCCACCCCGTTTTATACCACGTCTGGTACCATCGCGACGGCGCATTAATGACTTCCTTGGCCACAATTAATGCGACTTCATTATTTGAAAGAAAATATGCGTTTTTGACTCCAGAAAACACATTTAAGACTCCAACAAGAAAGAGGTTGAATTTACACAATTCAACAATTTAGCCTTCAAGCCAAATTCGTTACTGTTTAATGTCTAAATTTAACTTCACCATTAAACGGCCTTGAGAAGGTGTTAAGTCAGATTCTCCGATTTCTGACACTTTAAATGATGGAAAATGAGACCTGGGATTTACATGGCTTAGATTTTAAATCCCCCTGTCGGTTTTTGTTTTTTAGCAAGGCAACCGAAAGTCTGCTTCACAACGATTGGCTACCGGTTCGTGCTCCACGATTGGCGGCCAGAAAGCCAATGAGAACACAGAAAGCCCGCCGGAAAGACGGCACGCTTCGACGTTGGCGACATTTAAATGTCTGGTGCGACAGACAGCGTACTATGCTTGTTTGGCAACTCCTAGTCCACACAGCGCCGATAAGTCTACGGACAACATGGTGTCAGCGGCTGCTCTGACCCACGAGATGAGTCTCACACCTCCAGGGTGGTCGATGTTTGAGTTGCGAACGCGGACCTCGGTGTGGCCTCCGCCCTCCATATCGCCCTTCTCGAACGACAAGTCGCAGGAGCACATTGGCCACCCCCGTGACTCTGGTCTGGGCTACTCCATAGGCTCCATCACTTCGTCAGCATCTTCCTCTGGACCCTCATCTGCACCCCACGGCTCGTCCAACCAGACCATCTGCCCCCTGTGTTTCACGGTGACACTTCGCTCCACCCTGCCATCCTCGTCCTGCTCAGGACAGGTTTGCGAGCAGTGCATCGCCAGGCAACGAAATGTAAGCTTTTTTTATCTTGTAACACCGTCTACTACTCTGCATTATGCTCGCAAAATGTGCCTACATTTTGAATGTCTAGACAAGACTTTCGAGTCCGCAACTAAAGTTGCACTTTGTGTTGGCGTTTGAGTTGCTTAACTGGAGCTAAATCAATGATAATTGCTTGACCAACATTATGCACCAATTCTACACCATTCTACTTTTAGACAGAATGGCTCAAAATCGCTTAATCTGATTGGTTCACCCTGATATGGTGATGATGTCGTTTGACGACGGCGATGACAACGACGACTGCTTTCTAAGTCGCCTTCAGGCGTTGAGGTCAGAGTAGATGTGTAGCCAGATGACAGTGTATACGGGTTTAGTTTAGGGGCTAATTTCAGTCGTCTGTCTGCGAGGATGAGGTGTTGACGGCGCAAACGTCTAGTCAGCTTGGCAACGCGGGCGTCCATAAGCGCTGGCACGCACGCACCCACACCTACCGGCGTCTAGACACGGTCTAGTATGTGGCGCGTCGTGTGGAAGAGAGCCGTAGTCTATGGTGTGTACACAAATGCAGATGTCTCTCTCTCTCCAACGCAGTTTTGTCTGACAAGTGTTTGAACGGTTATCTGGCAGCAGAGGAGGTAGGGCGTTGCTTTCTCCAACAAAGTCGCCTTATTTACTTATTTTTACCAACTAACACTCGACTACTTCCCATCACGTCGTTGTGTGGTTTTTTATCAACTTTATTTACGCAAATTCCTGTAATGGATCCTTAGAGCTGAAAACCATCTGCAATTTTGTTAAACTCAGCCGTCAGGTGGCGGACAACGCGTCCTGCCAGATAGCAATCGGCTCCTCAAGACTGAAGTTGTTTAATGTTTTTAATGAGACGTCTATTCTGCCATGTTGAGTAGGGGTTTCTTGTTCTAGTCGCCTTTTTTCGTTGTCTAGACTGCACGGCATGATTAGTGGCATTGACGTCTGGTCTAATTGCATTGTGTCTAGCCTTGTGTGTTTGGAGACGTCTTGCAAGCGACGAGTTTGCGAAATGGATTATTACTGTGGTGCTTCGTTGTGTATTTATCGTCAATAGCGTTAGCGGTAGTGGTGGTGTTTTACCGTCTAGACGCGTTATACCGTCTTCAGACCGTTCCACGTCGTCTGCTAGGCACAATATTTTTTGCCGCTTACTAGACGATCGTAAAATTTAAAAATATAGCAAACCTATCAAAATACTGGAGGCCGACTGGACCCTAAAGTCGTGCAAATTCCTGGTGATTTCGATACACCACAGCCTTCCGCGTGTTGGTTTTATTCTATTTTAGACAAGACCTCCATACCGGACCACGTTTCCTTCATGCTGGTTATTTTAGAGTCAGGCAGCCCCGCCCCCATGCATCAACGCCACAACTGACCAACCTTTAACCCCAAGCTTTTGCCAAACGTGTGAAACAGTCGTTTGTGTGTTTGGACGTCTCCTCCATGTGTGTCACCTGTCCACCACACTCACCCCTTCTCTTAATCTAGACCGTTTAGAGTAAAAAACAGACACCGTGAAGTGGTGGCGGCGGCTGTGGCAGCGGTTCCATCGTGTGGCCGGTCTCTGCGCCGGCATCCGAAACGTATTTCATGTCTAGACATTAAAGGGAATTGTGCCGATGTGTCAGGGGAGGTGGGCTGACACCGTCTATGATCTCTCTTTGTAAGTGTTATAGCACCCTGTCTAGCTTTCTCCCCTTCAGCGGTGGTAGCAGCAGTTGCCGTCGTCTGTTTTATCATGCCCAGTATGATTGTCTCCAGTAACAGCGATTAAAGAGCCTAGCGTGCCGCGTTTGCCCCGGTTGAGACCTTCTGTTGTTTGAATTCGTCTCTTATCTCAACTGATTCCCTCCCTTCCAGTCGAACTTCCGCACGAAGCCGTCAGGACGATCGATTCTGCAGACCTTCCGGCGAAATCTGCCCTGGCGTCCGTTCAAGTCGACTTCGCCAACGGCAATAGCCACGACGGCGAGGGAGAACCAGAGCCTACGCGGCGACTGCCACACCTTTCACTCAGTGTCACCGTTGTTTGTTCCCACTGCACCCCAAGGTCCCCCTGTATTCCACTGTTCGCCGCGAATATCGAAGACAGGCACTGTTAACCCGCCACCCAATCGTAACCCCTTTACCCGGACAAGCGCCGAGCAGATGGTGAAGACACGGTAGCGACCGCCGACATCCCAACGTCAAAATTGTGATCTCGCATCCTTGCAGGCTGCCAAACACACATACACACACATATATCTCTTATTTTTTTATACACATCTATCTCTTCCTTCGCTTAGTTTGATGAACGTCGAGCAGAAACAAAGGGAACAGGGTACCACTTCATTCCGACGCCTGGGGGCACATATATGTCCTGTACTCTTTCCACTACCTTGCCACTACCACTACCTTTCTCTAATTGTGAGATAAAGTTGTCGAGAAAAACTGGCAATCCCACTAACATAAATAACATTTTGCTTTTTTCAGTTTGGTGAAAGACAGCAAAAGGAAACCGAAAAGGTCGATTAGATAAACAAAAAAGCGTGAATCGAATGTCCGCATTTAGCAAACTATTTATCAGGAAAAGGTCTGAAAAACAACTGCCTAATTACTAAGATAGCAGCGGTATAAACGTGTTTTTGATTGGAGAAAGTGACCCAGATCTGGACATTGGGGTGTTGTCATTCTGCAAACACCAGTGTTTTCAAACTGACTAGACAACCTGTCTGCAACAACACCACCACACACCAAATGGGCTTCAGTCGTT